GATATTTTTTCCCATCCCATTCAACATGTTTTCGAAGTGAAATTTCATCAACAATTAGTGACAGAATAATGGTGGGTTGTTATATTTTTTTAGTGTACTAAGAGATTGTTTACTGAAGCCTGGCTCAGCATTGATATTTTGAAATCATTTACCTATAGTACTGTAACCTTACAAACCGGGTCCTAACCTAGTTTTACAAATATTTAAAACCTTGGTCTAAAATGCGTCTAGTAGATACCCATGAAGTGATTTTTGTAGGATCCCAAAATTTCGCTTAAAGTTCAATGTAGCTGTAATGGAGGGAAAAAAAGTAAACACAAAAATAGATTAAGAATAGTTTTATTTAAACTTGTTTCTTTTAGCGGGAAGTTGACTATAATGGTGGTTTATTTTAACATAACACATGTGGGGCCTTTTCCATGTCTCATTTCTAACCAAAGGGATTTTAAGCTCCCATGAACCGGTGAAAGTATGATGACAGTACTACAGCATATTTGTTATCCCTTTATAGTTCACAATCATACACACTGCTCATATAATACCTGTATACGTATTGTCTTATATAGTGAAGTTCAGCGATATCACGAAGAGTATGGTGAGATATGAATATAAATATAAATATGTAAATGAGAAGTTTAAACTCATCTTGCGTAATACCTTTCCACTGATATCCCAATACCGTATTTTACGATTGTGCTCGGCACTTCATATATAACAATAACTTGTACGACAACAGAACACCTGATATAAAGGGGGATGCCCGTTAGGCCCACTATTGGGGTATCTTTTCTTAAGATCCATCCTAGCCTCTATCAGGCTTTTATATCCACAGACGTGAGAAAATGTACCATTTTTAGGCCCTACTATTGAGGTTCTGCACGTACTATGTCCCTTTTTCGAGGCCCTTTTTCGGCGCAATGCTCTTTTGCTCTAATTACCGACAAATCAATGCTATAAATGACAGCTCCGAAACCACAAGCTGTAGTCCCACCACAATCTCACCTCATTTTTCTAAAAGGATAACAATTATACCGGAGTTCTATAAAGTGATGCACAGATGGGCCTATTTTGTTTACCTAAACATAATACCTAATACCTAAAATTATATCGTTACCCGCCTCTGTACATATTCAGTCTTAAAAAGAACCCAAAAAAAGTAAATTCTTAACGTTTAGAAATAAGTCATGACTTTACCCATTTTTGCATCATACAGAATGAAAGAAAATATTATTACCGTAATTTACTTAACATTAGGACTCGACAAATAAATATAATACAATTCAAACATCTAAACGAACGCAAAAGACGACAATTTATAGCCACAAAAGCAGGTTATTGGTTTCCTAAACCCTAAAATAATAAAGGGCTTTGACACTTGATTCTTATGATCATAAACCAGAAGGGCTTAGTTTATTAGTTGTTGTGGCTGGATTTACAATAATTGATTTTTATGACCGTAATTCTAATTATTAATTATTGCCCTACGAAATAAAAAGGAAATGCCCTGACAATGAAATAAAAAAACTACCCACATAACTTAACAATTACAGTTTACTAAATTTTACCCAAATAAGAATTGTTCCCCTTTTAAACAAATAATTAATTACCAAATGATACCTGTAATAATACCGTGCTGCAATAACTGCTCTCCCCCGGCTGTATACATGACTACTATACAAAGGACACTAGGTAGGAATGTGCGTCGAAAACGCTGATTTCGAAATGCGTTCTAGAACGGCGTTTCCGCGATTCAAACCGATAATCGTAGCGTCTAAAAGAAGATACAATTATCGCTAAAATATACGTACGGGGATCCACACAACAAAGAAAAAGATATCATCGACAAAAGTAGAACGAAAATCGCAATACTTTTAATCGTTTTCCACAAGTTTTATAGGATTGGATCAGAGGTAATAAATAACTCGCTATTTCTTTATTCGGCGTCGTCACCATAGGCAACGGTTCACCAAGACAAGTCACGCAAAGAATCCAAAAACTATACAAATACAGTGTGTTAAAAAAAAAGTGTCACAAAATAAAACGGGGGGGTAGTATGGGCCAAAATATGCAGAAAAGTCTTAATAAACATATGTCCGCAAATGAATGGTTTCAGAGATACGTAGTGTTTTGTGTTTTGTATCATTTTTTGATTATATTTTTTCATTCTCAAAAACTTGCTTTTCTTATCGGAGTCTACCGATGTTTTTTCATAGATACTATTTGCAGTTATTATTTTGTTGTGGGTGAATAATTTTATAAATTTTCGTTATGCCTGTTTACACTAATATTGAATTAGCTGACATGCATTTTATGTACGGTCGTGCAAATGGCAATGCGAGGGAAGCGCTACGTCAGTATTTGAACATCTCATTTAACTCTATGTTGTTATTGATTGTTTATAAATATCATTGTTTTTTTATAATAATAAAAAATTGTTATAAACACAAAATGGTCCGTATCTCCGAAACCGTTAATTTGCGGTCATATATTTATTAAGACTTTTCTGCTTATTTTGGGTCATACTATTCACCATTTCATTTTGTGACACTTTTTTTTTAACACCCTGAACGAAAGAAGTCACCTTAAAGGTAACGGTGTATAGCGCAACAGAAGTCGTTTCATACAGAAAATAATTTATCTGCTCCCTCGATATCTTTTACTGCGTTTTCCAAATATAACAAAAAAAGCTGTCACCTTATAGTTAAACGAGATAAACCGATCAATATACTTGAAGAGTATATAGAAGGGAGTCACCTTAAAGATAACTGAATCTTACACTTTTTTTGTCAACTGGACGTGAGAAAGGCAGGAAGAATTCTAACCCCGTGCTTACTTTTGAACGCCGTATTTATACTTTAATTTTCCCATTTAGTCAATGCATTAGACAGAGAAAGTTTGAGTAACGGGCCTACCCAACTTTCACGTAACATAATTCCCAGAAAAACAGCCCGAACAATATCCGGCTTGCGGACCTTCCCCTGAGTTCGAGTTTGCCTTTCAACAATTTACACCTGACGAAAAAAAGGATGTGAAAAATAGAAAGCGATTGATATTTCCTCGAAAAACGCAACAAAATATTTAAAGAAAATAATAAAAAAATATCAGTCCCAGGGGCGTCGGGTTTTAGTACTACGGTGAGGTAAGCAAGTATCAAATGCTGGCCTAACATAATCGTAGCCCTGAGGCGAAAAAAAACTTAAAGTTATAGCAAACTTACGCAAATCAGGGGAATATTTACTTTTTTTTTTAATTTTTGCTATTTCAATTCCTTAACAATATTAGGCATATTGTCAAACATTAGCATATTTTCAGAGGAAATTAAATTTTTCTTATTTAACTCTTTAACAAGAAGTTTTAGCGAAACAATTTTTTTTTATATCTTTTAAGTTTTTGTTTAAGAACTCTAATTTGTCTGGTTTTCACTTTATTCTTTTCTACCTCTTGAAAAAGTTGCCTTCTAAGCCGTTTTATGCTAGGACTTTCTAGGATAGATTCCTTATTTTCAGTTGTATTTGAAGGGCCTGGCTCAACTTCCAAATCCAATGCTCTTCTTTTTAAGTCCTGCAAACAATCAATTATTACGGTAATGTTTTAAATTTAAACACAAAATAGTTGCTAAATTCTTAAAAGTACATAACAATAATGAAAAGTATTTAAAAATATATATGTTACAGTCCAGGCCGTCTATGAAAAATAGACCATATATAAAAGGACTAGTCCGTATATAAAAGGACTGAGGATATTATTTCATATGTGTAAAAAGCTTGTCTTTTAATGAACTGTCTAGTCAGTTTGTAAAAGGTCTAGTCTATTTATATATGGCCCAGCTGCACCTACGCCATATGTATATTTTTAAGATATTTAAACACATTTTTTTTTTATTTATTTATTATAGAAATGAGTTATACATACACACACACACACACACATACACACACACACACACACACACACAGACACACACACACACACACACACACACACACACACACACACACACACACACACACACACACACACACACACACACACACACAGAGAGAGAGAGACAGACACCATCGCGAAAATAGTCAAAACGAATTCAGAGGACCCCAAAACGTAAAAATCCATCTAGAAAAATCAGGATTCCTATACTTTCCTTAGCTTTATACAGATAGGAAAGTAAAAACAATAAAGGTCCTGGAATTTACCAAATCAGATCCGAAACCCTAAAAGCTCATATGTTTTCTGATAATAACATACAAGATATTGCCCTAATGAGTTTAAAAGGGCTGTAGTTACACCTATTTTTAAAAAAAGGTAATAAAAAGGACGTTAGTAACTACCGTCCCATATCCGGTATAAGTGAGCTTTCCAAAGTTTTTGAAAAATCTCTAAAATCTAGGTTGAATAAATATTTAAATAAAAATAACATTATTTTTAAATCTGTTTGGTTTCAAAGAAAATGTTTCTACTACAGATGCAACATCAACCCTAATAAGTGAGATTTTCTGCAATTAGCACCAACTGACATTGACCTAAATCTAATCGAACAAGAAGAAATTTAGCAGTTTCCGTAAATTGCATTTTCAGCTTTAGGATCCTAACCTTTTTTCTCACTTCAATTTTCTTTGAATTTTTAGTCAAGATATAAACCAAAGAATTACTCCCTTCCATATGTACATGATATTTAGAAACAACCTTTATATTAGATGCTTAGTATACATTAATTTAATTTAATAATAATAAATAATAGATAATTTCTAAAACCTTCAAAATTAAAACATAATTTAATTGAAATATTATAAAATAAACAACATGTTTTAATTGCCTTATCATACAACATTCATATAGATTATTGTATCTAACCTATTACTACACCAAAAAATGCTTTAATAATGACTTGCTAACGAATATTGATATGGATGACTGATATTTTATTTAATCTTAATTTTATCATACTCATCTTATCTTAAAAGTTCAGGAATTAAAATTAAATATTTAATACATTCTTTTATCAGAAAAACCTTTGCAGCAGACGTATCATACAAAGATGTCTTCCACGAAACTCCAAAAACTAGATGAAATTATATCCAATTACATAGAAAAAGATAAAGATATAATAGATATGCAAGTTAGTAACCTAACAAATCCAGGCGATAACTGGGGAAGCCAGATATACAAGGTGGATCTCAAACTGAAAACAAAAACCACCGAATCAGAAGAGCTATATTTGGTAGCCAAGCAAATTCCAAATTCCGAATATTATCAACAAGTTTTCAATGTACAAGTAACGTTTAATCAAGAAAAAGAATTTTATAAAACAGTAGTACCGACACTGCATGATTTTCAACGAAAAATGGGGACGAAGATTCTAGATGCCTTTCCAAAATTCTACGGAGCTAGAAATAGCTTGAATTGTGAAAATGGAAAAGTAGATAAAGATGGTTTGATAGTAGTGGAGAATTTAAAAATTAAAGGTAAATATCAAATATTATTAGATACATTTCATCACAATCATCTGCTTCTATATTAGAGCTTCTTTAATTTTCCTCCTCCTCTTTACCATATTTCTGCATTATTCCAGTTATAATTCTAGTTGCTTAATATCATATAACCTTTTCAGGGACAAGTATACAAACAGAATTAAACTTCGTATTTTTATAGAATTTGTATTTACACCTTTTATTCATAAGAATCGTTGAAAAATTTAATTATACAGGGTGTCCCATTAGTGCGTAATTGTTAAATATTTCAATTTGTGTTATAGACACGCAAACAAGTTTTAAATAAAGTTATATGGACTTAAAAAATACTTATTTCAAAAATATTTTCGGATATACAGGGTGTTGCGTTTTTGCCTGGCAAATAAAAATGTATGTTTTTTAAATAGAACACTGTATTTTATTTTAATTTTAGAATGATTTGGTACTTCTGTAGTCAACCCCAAAATGCTCTTAAAAATATTCTAGTGTTGCCCATCAACTTTTTTTTTGAAATTAGAGAATGATGCAGACCCCAAATTAAATTATCATAATTTAGGTAGCTTTAATTTGACTTAAAAATTGTTAAATATACAGACTTATAAGATAATAAGCTTATATAGAGTGTTTTGAAACATGTCTTAAATATGGCTAATTTTAAGCTCAATTTACTCAATTTTTTCAAATGCAACACCTTGTATATTATAACATTTTTTATAAATTTGCTTGTACAACGATACGAATATGTTAGCCAATAACACATATACAGGGTGTCCCATCACTTCGTAATTGATGGATAGCTGTTTTACTGTTAGGAATACGAAGAAATGTTTAATATAAAGGTGGGTCCACATTGCTCGCGAACAGTGCGAACGAACACAACAAGCGCAACAAACGGAGCAAACAGCACGAATGAAACAAAAATCAAATTTGTCGTGTTTAGGCTGTTTGCAGCGTTCCTCGTGCTTGCAATCACCCAAAACACCTGTTTAGACTATTCGGTCGGGTAGCGGTATATCAAAGGGATGCATATTGCGCGCTTGAGCACAGTTGACGGCGGTTTGGTGATTTTTTTGTTTTTCCTGTTCGCTTTTAAGTTGTCAAGTACGAGCGTACGAGCAAGCCGCAGTGCAATATGGAAAGGACTGAAGAAAACATTTTGAAACTAATTCGCCTTTACGAAAGTTATCCTGTTTTGTGGGATCCACAACACAAATTTTATAAGCTACATATTAAAAAAAAATGATGCGTAGTTTTTGTTGTTTTTTGTCATTACAAACTAAGTTTTTTGTAGTTTTGTAGTTTTTTATTGTTCTTTATCAATGTTTATTATCTCTATAATACACTTTTTTATTAATAAACCTGTATAAATTTGTAATACTTACAGTCTGTTAGCTTTACTTACGCGGGTTTCGGATTAACAAAAATTATGCAAATTAGTCATTGGCAACCAGTTCCATTAAGCCTCTTCCCAAGAAATTAGGTATAATTGCCCTAATGGTAAGAATTAAATTAAAATTACATTAGGGTAGGTACTAAATTTGTTACAAATATTGCAGTTGAATTGATTTTTTGCAAGTGTTGACATTGTATGTATATTGTAAATTTAGTGGAAAATTTAAAAATGCCTAGACGTGTGTTAGATGTAGATAGTCTAATTTGTAGTGTACATAAGTATTTTACGGATGAAAAAGAAAATGGCGGTCCTTTAAAATCGGAAATGTCTGTACAACAACGCGTATGCGATGCTCTAGGAATTAGTGAAACCAAATTAAGAGGAGTATTACAAAATCACAATAGTGAACTGCCGAAAGAAGATCACCGCAAAACTCGCCTATCATTGAAAACGAAAGATATTCCAAATGGAAAGAAATTTGAAATTCGTGATACCATTTATCGAATGAGGGCCAACAAGTAACATGTGACCTTAAATACAATTCTCTCGGAATTAATAGATAGAAAATTTGACGACATTGGCAGAACAAGTCTATGGCAAGTGATACATAACTTGGGTTTCAAATTTCAAAAAGAGGATAACAGAAAGGCCCTTTGTGAAAAAAGTCCTATCGTGCACAAGAGAATTAACTTTCTAAGAAAATATTCTAAATTTAAAGAAGAAGGGGCGAATTTTATATATTTAGACGAAACATGGATATTTTCTAGGGGTGCAACGAAGAGAATATGGCAAGATGATAACGTAAAGTCCATCAAACATACCGATGGAGAAGGAAAGCGACACATTATTTTACATGCAGGAGGGAAATTCGGTTTTATAGAAGGTGTTGAGTTAATATTTTCATCTAAATCAAAATCCAGTGACTATCACGATAATATGAACACAGAAATGTTTGTAAAATGGTTGCTTGAAAAACTTCTCCCAGGTTTAAGTGAGCCCAGCGTAATTATTTTAGACAATGCACCTTACCATTCTGAAGTATTAAACAAAAGTCCAACGAATTCTTGGACTGTTGATAAAATTAAAGAATGGTTAACAAAGGAACATATATATTAAAATCAGAATTATTACGCTTGGCAAATATACACGCAAAACCAAAAACCTTTGTTATGGATCAGATTATTGAAAGTTACGGTCATCAAGTTTTACGTCTGCCACCGTATCATTGCCAGTTTAATCCCATCGAATATATATGGGGAATACCAAAACAATATTATGACAATTATATTGGGCCTAATGGTTATAGTAACGACGCAGTTCAGGAAACTTGGCGAAAAGCACTTTCAATTGCAACTCCAAAAGTGTGGCGGAACTGTATATCCAAGTGCGAGAAACTAATAGAAGATTGGTGGACTCGTGAAAATAAAATAAACAAAATAAGTCCAATCATAATAACAATTAATGGTGATGACAGTGATGATGATGATGACCATTATGATATTTTGTATGATAATGACTGATTTTCAATTTTTTATTTTTCATTTGAAATTCTCTACAAGGAACAAATTTTTATGTTAGAAAATATTTTATTTGAGCTAAATAACCCTCTTATTATACATAGACCATATTTTATGTGTGAAGTGTAATATAAAATTATTATTAGGTTTATAATAGCCACATTAGACTCCATTAATGAAGAAGTTTAATTCTGCTCTCAATTATACAAAAGATTCTCGATTATTATTTTATTAAAAAGTTATACATTATTTTTCATTTCATTTAACCAATTGATATTTCCCCAAAAAACAGGTCAAACTTTCAGGTACTTACCTGGAAATACTCATAAAATATTTAATCCGAAACCCGCGTAAGTATAGCGAACATACTGTACCTTAAAGTGATCTTTGAAAGCTTCATTAAAGCTATCGCAAACCTTTGGGACTATTTTGGAAATACTTTGTTTCGATACTTTAAATAAATAACTTAAACTAGTGAATGAGTCCCCAGTAGCGAGAAATCTTAATGTTATCGCTAGTCTTTCCTTAACTGGAATAGCTTTTCTAAAGGTGGTATTCTTTCTTTGGATATGTGGCCCAACTAAATTAGTTACTGTTTTAAAATCGGTACTACTCATGCGACAAATATGAATAAAAAATAGCCCATCTGTTTGCAAATCATGGAGAAGATTACTTCCACTGTATTTGAATCTACTTTGAAAAATATTTGACATCCAACACCGTCTATTTATCACTTTTTTTTCTATTCTCTCCGTTTTATAATAATAATTAACGCACTGGCAGCCGCCGTTAATAATAATTGATCATCCATGTCGGAACCGCAAGAGCGCAAACACAGAACTACAATGTGGACACTTTTGCTTGCAGATACACCGATCTTGACAAACAGAAGAAACATAAAAAGCAACGTTCCGGAAACAGCATAAGTGCGATCACGAGCACGAGCGTGATCACGAACAGGAGCAATGTGGACTCACCTTTGTGTTGTAGGGCCATATTTAACATTTTTTCTTAAATATACAGGGTGGTCAATAAACAAGATGTTGATCAAATATATACTTTTTTAAAGTAAAACACCCGGCAGGATTGTTTTCACATCAACAAACAATTTTAATTGACTTCATTAATTTGCTATCTTGTATATAGGGTGTGTCAAAACGTGAAGTTACGATTTTCCTAATTTTTTAAATGCAACACCATGTATTGGTGGTATAACAAAAGGGTATTCCATTTAAAAAATTGTGAAAATCGTTACCCCGTATTTTGACCGTATATACAACAAAGCAAATAAAATTGTTTTACGATGTGAAAACTATCAAATATGTATAACTATTGCAGGTTATTATGCTTTAAAAATGTATAAGTTTGGTCAGCCCCTTGTTTATGGACCACCTTGTATATTTAAGAATATTTATTTAAGATGGTCATACAACTTTTATATCATTATTTTTTTTTTTTCGTATTTGCAATAATAAAACAGCTATCGATCAATTACGCATTGATAGCTAACATGTTGATATCGTTGGATAGGTAAATTTATAAGAAATTTTATGCTAAAATAATATACAGGGTATTGCTTTTGAAAATAGACTAAATTGAACTTAAAATGAGCCATATTTAGGAAATGTTTCAAGATACTCTGTCTACAATAAACTAGTTCTATCACCACTATTCATTAGCTTAGCATCTTATAAGTTTTTATTTTAAATAATTTTAAAATCATTTAAAACCTAACCTAAATTATGATAATTTCATTTGGAGTCTGCATCATTCTCATAGAGAAAAAATTAATTGCTTGGCAAGTTGTAATATTAAAAAAAAAATCTAGGGTTCAATACAGTATTACCAAATCGTTCTAAAACTAAAATAAAATATAAAGTGTTCTATTTAAAAAATATACATACAAATATACAAAAATATTTTTTAAAAACGTATTTTTTAATTCCATATAACTTTTATTTAAAACACAAATTGAAATATTAAACAATTACGTACTAATGGGACACCCTCTATTTTTTTTTTCAAAAATTCAGCTACATCATTTTTTTTTCTATTCTTTTTTTATTTCATCTAGCTTTTTTCTT